GAGTGGGGGGAGCCCGTTCCCCTCCACAGACGCTGAGTGGGGGGAGCCCGTTCCCCTCCACAGACACTGGGTGTGGGGAGCCCGTTCCCCTCCACAGACGCTGAGTGGGGGGAGCTCATTCCTGCTCCACCTGCTCGCACTGTGCCAGGCGTGCGAATTCCAGCTCTAGCTGCAGCAGGAGGGGAGCTCACATAAAAATAAACATAAGACCTAAATGTGGGTGAGAGAGCAGCCTTCACAGAAGGGCTAGAAGCAGCCTTGGGAGTGGCAACCAAAGGAGAAAAGGGGGCGGGGAGAAGCGTCTCAGGGTGAAGGATAAATTAAATAGCAGGTGCACTGGCCAGAGAGCTGCTGGGGGAGTCGGCACCATGGAGAGGCAAAGGGGGCAGAGAGGAGTGGTGGGAGAGCTGCTGAGGGTGCCCGAAGATGGGGAGCAAGATGTGTATGGACACGGGCAGGGACTGTGAGACAGGAACACAGCACGTGACACACATACTCTCCAGCCAGGGCCATCACACAGATGGTCTCCACTTGAAATTACTCTCAACGACTTCCAGTGATTTACTACATGCCGGATAGCTTACTTGACGGTGACGGTGTGTGTGTGTTTTCCATATGAGTATTTAAAACACAAATATGTGGACAGGAGCTAAGTCTGTAAAATAATTGCCTTTATTTAGAAACCCAGACTCTGTAAGTTCTAAGAGACGTCGACTTCAGTCTAGCTTTTCAGTTGGCTTGTTGGCTGTTTGTGAAACGTGTGGTGTTAGAAGTTTAAATGTTTACCCATTTGTAAAATTAGGTGTTAGAGCACATTATTTTTAAGTAGTCTTCCAACTCTTAAAAACATCTACACAATTAAGGGTAAGTCTCTGATTCCAGTGAAGTCTCATTGGCTGATTGCTCTTCTACACTGTTTGTATCTAAATTTAGATTAACTGACATCTTCACGCACACTCTCAATGTCTACAGATAAGATGGACTAAAATTTGTTAGAGCAGAAAATGTACATACAAAGGGAAATCGTATAATATCTGCTGAAGTAGTTGAGAATAATCAGTGGTCACCCTGAGGCGTCTTCGAGTCAAACTCTTGTACCCGTATTTTCTGAGTTCACCCCACCAACCAGCACGTTCACATCTTTGTCTGTGTCTCTTCTTCCTCCCCTGGGTTTGACTGTGTTGGAGAAAGTGGTTCCGCCGTGTTCTTGTACTCCAGATACTCGACAATTAAATAAGCCACCATGGTCAGAATCAGGACTCCCAGGAGAATGTAGAGTTTGATGTAGACACACAGAAACTTGCTGTACCCGAAGGCGATGACGAATCCCAGTGCTTCCCACAGGCGGTAGTTGGAGAAGGCGGCCTCCTTGTTGTCCTCAAAGAGCACGCCGAACAGAGCTGCAACAGAGATGGGCGGGCGTGAGGCGGGGTCTCAGCTCCTGCCACTGTGGCCGAAGGGAGCACTGCTCCCCACTGCCCGGTTCTCTCCACAAAATCAGGGCCTCTTTTATTTAAAAAAAAAAAAAAAAGGCAAAATCAGAATTCTTTCCCTATGAGTTATAATAAGTCAGGTGGAACCATCTACCTGGCAGGGAGGAACTGTCACCACCATAAGAAACATGGAACCCATGAACATTGCACAGAAGGAGCCTGGCCACCTGCACTGTGAGTGTGGAGAGCAGAGCCCAGAGGCAACCGGCGCCACAGGAGGTGGCTCCCTGGCAGCCAGGAGCCAAGGAAACCAGAGTACGGATCGGATTGTGCTGGTAAAACACTCAGGGAACTCGCTGGAGACTGGTACAACAGCCCAGCAGATAAGTGATTCCCGTCTAGGAATTTCTGGACAACCCCCACAGAGAGCTGGGATTCCTGCTGTTGGAGTTTTTTTTTCCTATTAGAGACAACCTTCCCACCTGTGCCTCCCCCAGGACAGGTCCCACCTGCACCTCCCCCAGGACAGGTCCCACCTGCACCTCCCCCAGGACAGGTCCCACCTGTGCTTCCCTCAGGACAGGTCCCACCTGTGCCTCCTCCAGGACAGGTCCCACCTGCGCCTCCCCCAGGACAGGTCCCACCTGTGCCTCCCCCAGGGTGGCACTGACCTAACTAGCTGAACCTACTACTGGCAACCCTCACATAGGGGATTGCCTGAAGCTTGGGGGAGAAATAACCTACCTGTGCTATGGGGAGTCATGTTCCCCTGAATTCACACAGAGTTACAGCCTCAGCCCCAGACCCTCAGAACATGGCCGTGTTTGGAGACGGGGTCTTTGCAGAGGTGACTGAGATATAACAGGTTGGGGGCCAGGCCCTAGTACAGCGTGAGGAAAGAGGAGGGAGCTGGCAACAGCAGGACATGTGTGCTGGGGCAGCAGCTGGGGTCCCCACAGGCTGGCTCCCACCTTGTGGCAGAGGCCTGGCTTTGCCATGTGATCTCCTGTGGGCCAGCTACGGGCCACCCCTGAGGGGACAAGGGGCACCTGAGATTTATCTACAGCATGTCCTTCTGGGCTGGCCCTGGTGCGGTGGCCACCCCAACGTCCTCTTCACAAGCTGAGCTAAGCTGTCAGAGACGGGAGACAACCAAGTCCAGGTGTGCTGAGATCCCAACAGCACCCAGGGCTTGAACCTGGCTCTGCAGGGTGCAGTTTCCCCAAAGGATTACAGATCTTAAGCTCAGAGGGGCCCTGGGACAGTGGCTGTTTCTTTTAATTTTTAAAATTCCATATTCCTGGCAGAGTGAAAGGCACAGACAAGGCCCACCCAGATCGGAAGAGTGTCAGGGGGAGGTTAGAATGGAGGCCGTGCATGGACCTGTCTATCAGTGGCCACAGGGAGGGGAGAACAGTCTGAGGTTGGTAGAGTGCAGAAGGGGCTTCGTGGCACTTGGTCCCCAATAGGCCACCTCCCTTGGGAGGGCCTCTGAGGAGGTGGTGTGGTCCCTCTAAGGCAGAGGTGATGTCACTGAGAGAATCGCTGCCCTGGGCAGCGACAGGGCAAAGGTGCGTTTTGGACCTGATGGTGTGCATCTTCCTTTCAGGCATTGTCGTGTGAGGGTTGCTATGGCAACTGCACCATCCTTCCCTAGATGTCCCAGCATATAAATGGCAGGCAAGTTGCTGGCACAGACATGCCCTGCAAAGGCTGAGGAATCTGGGGTCCCAGGGAAGGAAATTCCAGAATTCTGCCCCAGGAAGGAAGGGTCAGGTGGTTAAGTCAACTGATCCGAGTCTGAGCTGGACAAATTTCACTGAATCTTGTTCAGTCCCATTAATATCAGGAGAGTATATGGCCCACATATTTTCTTAAAAGAAAACCACATATTCAGGGAAAATAGAAATCCAATTTGCTATTTAGAAAATCAAAAATGGGCTCAGCGCCTGTGGCTCAAGCGGCTAAGGCGCCAGCCACATACACCTGAGCTGGCGGGTTCGAATCCAGCTGGGGCCTGCCAAACAACAATGATGGCTGCAACCAAAAAATAGCCGAGCATTGCCTGTAGTCCCAGCTACTCGGGAGGCAGAGGCAGGAGACTCGCCTGAGCCCAGGAGTTGGAGGTTGCTGTGAGCTGTGATGCCACGGCACTCTACCCAGGGGGACAGCTTGAGGCTCTGTCTCAAAAAAAAAAAAGAAAAGAAAAAATGAGTAATTGCCGTTCTTGAGATGTGGACATGGCTACACAAAACTTCCTTCCTTTGTTTTTTTTTTTTTGTTATAGAGAATCGACTTTGCTGACTTTCCATTCTGCAGGGTGGCAAATTCTGAGAGCTGGGTGGGGGAATTCTGTATTAGTCACTCCTGGCAGGGGTGACCGGGAGTGCAGATTCCTCAGGAAATTTTCAAGGATGTGAGAATATTTCCCCAACAACTGTTCTGTTTTTGAAAAAAATTGACTTTTACCTGTACAAAAGCACAGAATTTCATCCCTTCATCAAAGGGAGTCTTTGTTTAAGTTGGTCATTGGACTTGAACTTCATGTATTTATTGGACCAACGGTAACTTTCCTCACAATTTGGATAAAGACTTTGCCCAAGTATCTTGAGTCCTTATAAAGGAAGGGAGAGGGAAGGCAATTAGTTCTATGTCTCAGGGAGGACGAAAGCCATTTTTTACTGCATCCCTTTTAAAAATCAAGGGAGTTGCTGTATGGAATATTGGGGTAAATAGCCTGGCATCGGTCTGTTTTGACGTGTATGCTTTTTTAAATTCCACAGAGTTCAGAGATGTCCCTTTCATTCTAGCAGCAGGAGGCACATGCTGTGGGGTGCTCAGTAAAACTTGGGGCCTGTCCTGCATCTGGGGGACGTCAGGACAGACTGTCTGGTGATGACGCAGTTCCCACAGGTTCCGTGATGCACCATTTGTTTGTAATTGTGGGCTGCCCACATGGCCCCATGAGTTCCCCTTCATCTGCCCTCCAGGAAGTCAGTATCTGTTCTGAGAAGCAATGTCACAGCCTGACCTCCAGAGAGTTCCAATCTTTCCCTCCAGGCCTTTGACCTTGAGCTAGACAAGCCAGGCTCAGAGCCAAAGATAAACACCGGTTGAAACAGAACCTCACTGAAGCCACCTATATACTGGGGCAGGAGAAGAGACCCAGAAACACAGCTGCTAAATCCAGCAGTAGAGGTTTGTCCACAGGCCAGAGCTCAGCTTTGAGATAAATAAATGGTATAGAAGGGAGCGGCCTGGAGTGCTGCTCTGTGAAGGGAGCGGCCTGGAGCGCTGCTCCGTGACTGTGGAGACGTCTGGGTGCGGCGTCTGGGCCCCCTCCGAACAACACGGACCTGTCCCAGTCAGTCAGGGGACTTGTTTTACCCATTTTGGGTGCCAAGTGTTTTCTGGACTGGGGCAGTTTGGTGACATCCTCTTGGAGGGAAGAGGATCCCTTCTGAGAGCACCCTGGATCTCATCTCAGACCCCTGGGCCTTAAGTGAGGTCTCTTTCCATACTAGTTCCACATCTGCCATCCTCACCATGAATGAAGCACACAGCTCTGACCACTGTCCTCCCCACCCTACCCCAGCTTCCACCCTCCTTCTCTCATAAGCCTGCCTAAACTCCCTCAGCTCATCTCACTGCAGAGAACACAGCCAGCCAGACTGTCCACTCACGCGCTTCCTCCCTGCGGGTTCCTGCCACCGCCAGCACCTTTCATGGCTTGGCTGCTGCTCCCTCACCCTGCCTTGCACCTCATCCTGGGAGTTTCCTGGCACTGGCTCTGCCACCACTGTGGGAACATCGGCCACTCCTGGCAAGCAGGCCTCCCCATCACGCCAAGGGCCTGTACTCTGCGTCAGCAGCCCCCACCTCCAGCACCATGCCCTGGACCTTGTCATCTCTGCCTGGGACTCCAGTTGTCTGCCAGGCCACCAGCTGGACCTCACACTTCCAACATGACTTCCTGTCCTATCTCCCCACCTCCTCCAAGACAGGGAGGCTGCACATCTCCCGAGATGGACCGCCTGCCTTCTGAGTTTACTGCCTTTGTTCCACCCCTCTGTGGAGACTCAGCTGACGGCACACACTCCTGCCTCTGGCCCGTGTGGCCACCAAGCCCCCTGAGGGAACCATGCCACCCTGGACACACACACCTGCTCCTCTCTGGCCAGGTTCCGTTCACCCTCCAGCAGCTGCCCCAGGCCTCACCCCGGTGTGCTGTTAGCGTCACCTCGGGGGGACTGCAGGACCCTCAGTCATGTGGGCCTGACCTGAGCCCTCAGGGCTCAATTCTTAGCCTCACTATATCCGGCCATCAGATCAGTTCCTGCTCTCTGCCTCTCCCGCCCAGCCTCCTCATGCTGTGGTCAGGGCAGTGCCTTCCCGCAGGGCTGCTTGAGTGGACACTTTTATTCAGAGGACTCCAGTGCCCCTGTTCCTCAGTAAGTGCCTAGTAGGTGCTGTCTGCTGTGGTCACCCTTGACTCACTCCACGGGAAAGTTCACTTCATCAGATGAATGATATTAACTCCCTTCCCCATGGCAAGAGAGCGTCCCGCTTGTCCTGCAGGGGACTTCATTCTGCTTAGTCCCCACAGGGCAGTCCTCCTCCTCCTGAGGGTACCTCCACTTCTTTCTCAAAGCAGGATCCTCCACTGCTGGCTGTTCTCCCTCCTGCAGTCAAGATGCCAAGCCTGGCCCTGAGGGCCCCCGGTGTTGTGGGTGCCTCCCTCCGGGCCTCGTAGCCATGTGCTCCTTCCTGCCCCGTGGCCTATTTCTTCTCCATGGTCTGTGCAGCTGTGGGACCCTCATTTTGGTCCCTTTGCCTGTCCCTGAGTTATGCAGTGATTTTCCCGGGTCAGGGAGCCCCAGAGTGTCACAAGGCTACCCATCACTCCTCAGTGGAAATGCTGACCCCTTCCCAGGCAAGCCAGCTCTGCACGCCCAGGCCCGGCCTGTCTCTCCTCCACAGTCCCTCTGTGCTGCTGAACTCAGGAGAAACCCCAGGACGAGCCTGCCATGCCCTCCCCTGCCGGCTTCCACACTGCACTCCTAGGAAACCTGCTGCTGTTCCCGCAGCCCTGGAGCATCCTGCAGGACGCTGATCCTAGCAACCTGTGGCACGGTCGGGTCCAGGTCTACTGTGCCCAGCCCCTACCTGAGAGTGCCTTGCAGGGCCCACACCCTCGGCCCCACACCTGGTACCTGGAGACAGGTGTCTCTGCTCAGTAAGGCTCTGACCAGTGCTGACAGTCATGTAAGGACAGGCCCTGTGCCAGGCTGGACAAGGTTTCCCTGAGGAGAACCTGCCACACGGCGGTCCTCTTTATATCACAGACCTGAGGATGCTCAGAGACAGCAGCACTGACCGGAGGAGGACGCTGGCCCCTCTTTCTGTTTCCCACTCACCTGCCCGGGCTGGGCACGTCCGACATGGGCTCTGCAGCCCTGCTCAGCCCTCTGCAGTGGGCGGCCAGCTGGGGAGACCTGCGAAGGAGAGGTGACCATGCCGAGCACTCACCATTGTTCTGTGTCTGCCAGACAGCGTCTGCCACGCCCCACAGGCTGGGGAACAGGAAAAACAAGGGCACCTGGTTCTGGTGAGGCTCCCACAGCAGGAGGGCAATGGCACAGGAAAACTGGGTGCCTGCACCTAGAGGAAGAGGGGAAGCCCGAAGCCATGAGTGCTGTGGCCCCGCTGCTCAGCAGGGTCAACTGTGCTGGCAGGTCGAACCCTTCCACACTTGCCTCCTGCTTAATGACTTTCCTTAAAGTGCCCCCAAAGTGGTCTCTTCAGGGGACGCCAATGCTTGCTTGTGAGCTGACTGTGTGTACACTGCCATCTGCCCTGTGGGGCATGACCCAGCCTGGCAGGCCACAAGGGTGGCCTCTGGGAGTGGAGGGACAGCTACCTTGTATGGCCTGTGGGACCCCCTGAGCTGTGAGAACTCACATATGCTGAGAAAGGAAGGGCCTTGCATCCGGGCAGAGCTGGGGGACCCAGCGCCTGTGGAGAGGCTGTAAGGGACAGGGCTGGCCACTTCTCCACAGGGTCTTCTGGACAGAGTGGGGACTACCCGGGCAGGGGATTCCTGTGCTCCCACTTGTGGCCTAATGGCCAGCAGGCACTGTGGTGTCTCTAACTGTGGGGACATCTGTTACCTCCCCACACGGTGGAGGAGCAGAAAGCACAGGGTCTCTGGAGATAGGAAGATGGTTTGGCCTATGCTCCCTGAGACTGAGTGGCCCCTGGCAAGTCACTTTATCTCTCTCTGTCCCCTAGTCTGCTCACCCATCATGTGGGCACCTCATAGGCACGGATAGCTGTTCCCTGTCTCTCCTCCCAGGAAGAGTGGAGAGGGTCCAAGTGCAGGATGGAGCCCAGCAGCTGCACAGGCCCCTCTTATCTGACACATTACTAGATGAGTGTGAACAAAGCTGCCTCAGCGGAGGTGGGGCCCCCAGGGCAGATGGCAGTGTACACACAGCCCCCAGGACTGGCTTGGGGTCCCTTGTTTGTGCCTCCACAAGACCCCACAGGGCCCCACCTGTTCTCTGGCTACATTGTGCAGGTGCCTGTGTGGGAAGTGTGTCGCCGGCAGGAGTGACACCTGTGCTGTGGGAGGCCTCCCTGTGGGGTGGGGTCATGCTGCCCTCTCAGCCTCCCCCGGCCCCTGTGCCGCGTGGCCACCTACCCAGCATGTAAAGGGCCATCCTGCCCGTGTACTGGGACAACTTCCCGTACAGCAGGGAGCACAGTGAGTCGGCGGCTGCGAAGCAGATCATCACGTAGCCCACGAACTGGATGCCCAGGGCACAGGTGACATAGGACTGCAGGGACGAAGGGCTGTGTCAAGCACAATCCTGGCTCCTCCGGGACCCACATGCAGCCCCCCAGGAGCCACTGCAGATGTGCCAATGTGGCCCACAGCCTCAGGGCCAGAGGACAATGCTGGTATTTGCAAGAAAATTCTCTCTGGGCAAAGGATTTGGACGCATTTGGACTAAATCCCTCCCTGCCTCCCTGCCCCAGGTCCTGACATGTGTGCTGTTTCAAGCAGAGGCTGACGTGGACTTGCTAGACAGTCTGGCCATGTCCTTCTAGGCCTGATAACAGTCTGAAGTACATGGAGAAAAATGCAGACGAGTTCTTCAAGAGACCAGAAGATAGAAAAGCGTCAGACCCCCTGGCCACTGCAGCAAGTGGCTGGGCAGCCCTTCTCACTCACACCAACATGCTGCTGTCACTGGTGGGGGTGGAAAACAGGGCACAGAGGGGCTGGGATGGACCAGACCGTGACTACAGGGCAGAGGGGCTGGGATGGACCAGGCCGTGACTACAGGGCAGAGGGGCTGGGATGGACTGGGCCGTGACTACAGGGCAGAGGGGCTGGGATGGACCAGACCGTGACTACAGGGCAGAGGGGCTGGGATGGACCGGGCCGTGACTGCAGGGCAGAGGGGCTGGGATGGACCAGGCCATGACTACAGGGCAGAGGGGCTGGGATGGACTGGGCCGTGACTGCAACCACATGTGGGGCATAACAAGTCTAATGGGGAGGGGAGGGTGTCTGAAGCAATGAATGGACTTTTTTGTCATCTTGTTTATAGTGTTCTGAAACCGGGAGACACCCCATCAGGACTGTCCTGGAAGTGGCATTGCCAGGTAACGTCCAGGCCCTGGCTATGGCAGGGTCACGCTCACACCAAGGGATGTGTGACTCGGCCTGCGTGTTCCTGCCAAATTGGTGGCACCAACTGGGAGGGAGTCATGTGTGGAGGAGCCAGGGAGCATCCTCCATCCGGGGGGTTTCACCTGGGAGGGCAGCCCCCTGGGACACAGGCAGCTGCCCAGACTAAGCCTGGCTCTTGACGACGTCTGCCTACCTCCTGTCCTCTCGGCTCTCACCTACTGAGAGGTGGGGTTTTGGACAAAGCTTCACTATAGGGCCACTTCTGAGCATCCGGAGGGCTCTTCAGATAGGATACCACCCTGACAGGCAAACCAGCAAGAGGCCTCTGCAGGGAGCCATGTGTCACTCTGAGTATGCCAACCCCTGGGGTCAGCCGTCACTGAGTGCCTAGCATACTTACACATGTTGTGGTTGGCACAGAAGGACAAGGCCTGAGAAGGGGGGTGGACAGGGAGAAAGAAGAGGGGTGGACAAGGAGACAGAGCCTGGACAGAATGGTGCTTTCTAGATTGTAAGGCTTTGAAAACTAGAAGATGAGGAAGGTCAGCATTATTCATAGACTTAATGTCTCTTCCTATTTTTGAGCTCTAATGTGAGGACATAAGGTGAGATCCAGGCAAGCCTATAATGTTAGGACATAAGGTGAGATCCAGGCAAGCCTAACAGACGAATGTTCTGAGGTGAGTCAACAATAGCTGACTGTTTGATAGCTCTGGCCCTTTCCTGGGTAAGGAGATAAGGAGTCACTTGGAAGCTGGCACCTTGAGTCATAAAACTCAGCGGCTACAGGGCTGAGCACACAGGAGTCCTTTTCTCCCCAGCCTGGGCCCGGGGAGGGTGGCTGGAGACACTGCTGCCCATGCAGGTGCAGACATGGGCATGGCAGTGGCACCAGGCATGGCCCACTAGGGTCTCGCTTTCTCTCGTACCCTTGTGTATTCACCAGAGAGGAATCCCTGCTGTAACCCACTGTACAGTGGTAGCAGGACCAGGAGGCGCAGGCGTCTGTCTCTAAATAGCTTGAAAGTTGACAGCAAAGTCGACCAGAAAGGTAGCTGCTTTTTCCCTGAACAATTCTGTTGATCGTCTTGTAAGGGTTCGAGAAATACAGCTATCAGCAGGATGGCCAGGATGCCACTTCCTGGGGAGACAGAAAACAGATGCTTCAGTGCACGGGACTGACCTGGGAGGGCCTGTCCTCCTCTTGAGAGGCAGGGCTCATGAAAGCCTGGGTCTGAGGTGGTAACAGGCACATAGGGCTAAATGACCTGGATGTCAGGGTGTGTGATGGATACAGGACTCCCAGGCTTTCATAAGAGACCTGCCCACATAGATAGGTCAGTATTGTCTTCACTTTTTAAAATACAGAAAACCAGAGAGAGACCCCAGACATTCTCAATGTCCTTAATCACTGACTATGTTCCTCACATTCTAAACCTCAGAGCAATTTCTACGCATGGCCAGCCTCCATTTCAGGGTGACAGGTCCCCTAGTGGTGCCTTTGCTGCACTTTTCATTTGCCCCAAACCTATTTGTCTGGAAGTTCTTCAGTAGGAACCAGTTAAAGACACCAAGGTGTATCCCAGCTGCAGGGGAGCATTGTGCATTCAAGGGAATAAGAAAGGAAGCTCTTCACACACTGAGCTAGAGAAGTCCCCAATACAGGCAGTAGAAAGGATGAGGCAGACCAGGTGTGGAGCTGTGTGCAGAGCCGTGTGCAGAGCCATGCAGAGCAGGTGCAGAGTGGTGTGCAGAGCCATGTGCAGAGCAGGTGCAGAGCAGGTACAGAGCCATGTGCAGAGCAGGTGCAGAGCAGGTACAGAGCCATGTGCAGAGCAGGTGCAGAGCCGTGTGCAGAGCTATGTGCAGAGCAGGTGCAGAGCCGTGTGCAGAGCCATGTGCAGAGCAGGCGCAGAGCCCTGTGCAGAGCTATGTGCAGAGCAGGTGCAGAGCAGGTACAGAGCCATGTGCAGAGCAGGTGCAGAGCCCTGGGCAGAGCTGTCAGAGCAGGTGCAGAGCTGTGTGCAGAGCTATGTGCAGAGCAGGTGCAGAGCCCTGTGCAGAGCTGTCAGAGCAGAGCCCTGTGCAGAGCTATGTGCAGAGCAGGTGCAGAGCCCTGGGCAGAGCTGTCAGAGCAGGTGCAGAGCTGTGTGCAGAGCCATGTGCAGAGCAGGTGCAGAGCCCTGTGCAGAGCTATGTGCAGAGCAGGTGCAGAGCAAGTACAGAGCCATGTGCAGAGCAGGTGCAGAGCCCTGTGCAGAGCCATGTGCAGAGCAGGTGCAGAGCAGGTACAGGGCCATGTGCAGAGCCCTGCACAGAACCATGTGCAGAGCTATGTGAAGAGCAGGTGCAGAGCCCTGTGCAGAGCTGTCAGAGCAGGTGCAGAGCTGTGTGCAGAGCCATGTGCAGAGCAGGTGCAGAGCAGGTACAGAGCCATGTGCAGAGCAGGTGCAGAGCAGGTACAGAGCTATGTGCAGAGCAGGTGCAGAGCCCTGTGCAGAGCCGTCAGAGCAGGTACAGAGCAGGTGCAGAGCTGTCAGAGCAGGTATAGAACTGTGTGCAGAGCCATGCAGAGCAGGTACAGAGCAGGTACAGAGCCCTGTGCAGAGCTGTCAGAGCAGGTACAGAGCAGGTGCAGAGCCCTGTGCAGAGCTATGTGCAGAGCAGGTGCAGAGCAGGTACAGAGCCATGTGCAGAGCAGGTGCAGAGCCCTGGGCACAGCTGTCAGAGCAGGTGCAGAGCCATGTACAGAGCAGGTGCAGAGCAGGTGCAGAGCAGGTACAGAGCAGGTACAGAGCAGGTGCAGAGCCGTGCAGAGCAGGTACAGAGCAGGTACAGAGCCGTGCAGAGCGGGTACAGAGCAGGTGCAGAGCCCTGTGCAGAGCAGGTGCAGAGCCCTGTGCAGAGCAGGTGCAGAGCCCTGTGCAGAGCCATGTGCAGAGCAGGTGCAGAGCGCTTTGCAGAGCTATGTGCAGAGCAGGTGCAGAGCCCTGGGCAGAGCTGTCAGAGCAGGTGCAGAGCCATGTGCAGAGCCAGGTGCAGAGCAGGTGCAGAGCAGGTGCAGAGCCCTGTGCAGAGCCAGAGCAGGTACAGAGCAGGTGCAGAGCAGGTGCAGAGCAGGTGCAGCGTCTGCAAGGAGGGGGATGTGGAGGTTGGCCTACGCGTGCACTGGTGTGTCCAAGAAGCAAAGCAGACATGGGCTTTCTGTGGGCACAGGCCTGGGGCTGAGGGACAGCATGAGAGGGAGATTTTTCATCCACACTGCCCAAAGGGGGCACCTTTCAAGTCCTTCATGGGGGCCTGAAACTTGGAGTAGCGCCGGTCTTTATACACACTATGTATTCTCAATCTGATGACCCAGACGGCTACTGAGTGACTGGCAAAGGGGACAGTGTGGAGACCGTGTGCCAGCATGAGATTTCATCACACTGCTCAGAACAGTGTGCAACTTAAACGTTATGAATTATTTTTTGCTGAAATTTTCCATTTAATATTTTGAGACTGAAGTCGACTATGGGTAACAGAAACCACAGAAAACGAAACTGGGGTAAGGGGGGGCTATTGTACTTGCGTTTTGAACCAAGCGAATGCATTATAAAAAAGGCTCTTCTGCTGCCTGTTTGACCGTGAGGAGACGTCCTGCATTGCCTCGTGGCTCTAACGATGGAATCTCCGTCTTTACATCACTCACTTTATCACGTGATCCACCTTCTCTCCATGTGGAGAACTCACACCTACTTAGCTGTTGCCACTCGGGGAGGGACTTGTGGGCCCTCTGTGCTCTCTGCGTCACTGCTGTTTCCCCTCCCAACTGCGGGGACAGCACAGCTTCTTTCCAGGCAGCCGGATCCTTCCCCTCCTCACACTGGCCGGGACCTTCCAGAACAGTGTTCAATGACTCATTTCCAACTCTGGCGGCTTAGAGCGGTCTTCCTTTAAAGATGACGTGACCTGTTTTCTTCTTTCTATGTCCCAAGGCTAGCAGGCTCTTGGTGTGACCTGTGAGGGGAGACCTGCTGCATCCCTGTGGCCCAGAATGGCAGGCGTGGGGGTGTTTACGGGAAAGGACAGGTGAAGCCCTTCCCAGTACCCATCTCAGAAAATGCCCTGTCGATGAGTTTCTACCCAGAGGGCTGCTAACGTACTTTTAAGTGTTACTTTTGGCTATCTGGCTACCTGCCCACCTTGGCTAAACACAGCCACCTCCCATTTCATGAAAAATCAACATTTTCAAAAAGTTTATGGGACTCCATGTAAACACCTGACCAGCTCTCCCCATGGTCATCTCGTGGTCACCTTTCTTTTCCTTTAGTCTGATGGGCATGTAAGCTGGTGGTTATTCCCACTTTGAGAGCCACCCTCTAGCTACCTGAAAGACGGCCCCTTCTCCACAGTCCTGCTGTGTGGGCAGCTGAACTGGACACTATGATCCCTGGGACGAGAAGCTACAGGGAGCCCACAAGTTCATGTGTTCAGAGCCCCTACTTTTTATCAGAAATATGTGCATATCCAGAGGTCGCTGACCCAGAGCCTTCTGAGGGGACACAGACTGGGTGATGCTTTGTGACCAGCAGACTCAGCTCTCAGCAGACTCACTCTGCAGGAGCCTTGGCCATAAGCACATTGCTCGGACACCTGGACACCCGCCCCAGGAGCCTTGGCCATGAGCACGTTGGTCGGACACCCTGGACACCTGCCCTAGGAGATGGCGTGTGCCCGGTCCTTTAGTCTGTTTTTCTCGCTCACTGTATTTTTCTTTTTGGCAAATGGCTTTGTTTTGACAGAAGGGGACATACAGATCCTGCTGGGAGGCCTTGATTGGGATTGGAAGGCTTCTCAGGTCACAGGTGCATGGTCTGGGCTTCACATCACTTCTGGACCTGGACTTTCCTGGGTGGCTGGACTGTGAACTGAGATTGGCCTGCAGCATGGAAGAGCCTCTGGGGCCACCAGAGAGCACATTGTGGGTGTCTGTTGCTAGGCAGGGCACAGCACATGTGGAGGGTGGGGAACTAGGAGGCCTGGAAGCCACAAAGACATTGTTCTATCTGGGCCTGGTGTAGGGAGCTCCTTCCCTTGGAACCTTTCATAGAACACAGTTATCCAGGAGGGTGTAGCTGTGAGTTGACTTGGAACATTGAACACAGCTCTGTTCCATCAGACTTCGGTTGGCAGAGTGCATTCCTGCCTCCTTTGCTCCACTCTGAGCTCACTGACCGTGAGTTTCTGGTCTCAGTTTCTGGACCACAGAGGCTCACATCTTGCTCAGCCCACAGAGTTCAGTTTGCTTAGCCAGCCAAGATGAAGCAGGGTGAAGGGGCCTGAGTGCTGCGGCAGCCTGTGTCCCCTGCATGATGGAGCCCTGCAGCCTGCTGACCTTTGGACCTCCGATCTCCAGCAGGACTTTGGGCTCCACTCCCCAGAGCTGACGTGTACAGACCTTTGCTTTTCAAACACATTCCAAGGCCTTTATGAATTCCAAAATTCAAGAATGACAAAGAGTACATATAAACTTCCCTTGAAATCATTAACAAAACCCCTCTAAATGTGTCTTTTTCAAAGTAGCAATGACCCTTTGAACATAAGAGTTAAATCATAGGTCAGACACTTGTCCTCTCCAGAAAGAAGAATGGGAACAGTGAGCAGATAATCACCCCTCGAGTCAAACATCTGGGAGGAAGAGGGCTCAGTAGAGGTGACACACAAAGCTTGTGAAGCTCTGGGGAGAGCAGAGATGGGGAGACAAGTGTGAGGCCCTTGGGGTCCACACCCCACTGCATCCTGCTGTAGCCCCAGCCACCGGCAAGTGCCTTTGCCCAAAAGAACTAAGAGGAGCCGTGTGGTGACCTGAGACCATTTACTAGGCAGGGAGTGCGTGCTGCGTCACAATCCCCCTCAGGCCTAAGTGGCTGCCGTTTGCTGTGTGAGAGCATAGTTGTCACCAGATTGTGTCCTGCCTGGGAGCCACAGCCCCCCACTTCCACATTTCAGGAGCCCCCGCTGACATACCTTAGTGCCCACCTGGAGGGCAGTGCCACACAGTGCTGGACAGACTCAGAGGTGCTACAGGTCCCCACTACTTCAGCCCCCACATTTTGCAAAGATTTTTCAAATGAAGAAAAAGTGCATTGTGGAAGATGGCCTTTGTCAGCCCGGGAGGGAGCTTGGTTTGCTGTGCCCAGGGCACATACCTGTGTAGATGCCCAGCAGGGTGTAGACCAGCTCCTGGGAGGGCTGATGGGTGCTGTTGCTGGGCCTGGTGGCCATCAGGCAGTCGTTGGCCCCACAGAGCACGAGCTCCTCCTCCGTGATGGTCTCTGTGAATTCGGAGCAAACAGGTGACATGAGGAGATAGGATGCAGACGTCTGTGGGAAGGACAGTGGACACTCTGAGGTCAGTGTCAATAGACCAGGGGTCTCTGCACATGTGAGTAATGCTTGGGCAGGTGTCTATAGACTTGGTTCTAAGATGCCTTGACTGGGAGGAGAGAACCACATCAGTGTCAGGCCAAGACTCAGGGAGGAATAGCAGGAAATAGATGTTGGTTACTTGCCGTATTACTTTCCTGACATAACCAAAATACTTAACGTCTCAAAACTGGTCAAAAAGAAGAAAGCACATAAATTGAGTGTCAGGAATGCTGGGTGCTCCCTCATCTGTAACCAGCTCCCTGACTTTGGGCAGGTATTTCATAACTTTTCTGTTGTTGAAGGCTAGTAAGAGCCCTCTCGTCTGCTAAAAGGATAAAACGTGACCGACTCAAGACTCAGTTAGAGCACACCCAAAACACAGGGCTGGTGTCTTGTTTATACAACACAAAGTTCCTAACACAAGACTTCACAGAATCCTCTAGGCTGGTGAGGGAAGCAGCAAGCAGGAGGTGTTAAGAGGGGAGAGGCCCCACGAGGCTCTCAAATGCTTCCTGGCCTCAAACCCTACGTCCGGTGCTGTGGGAGGATTGGGCTCAGCGGCCCGGCTGCTCTACCTCACACCGGTTGTGACCCAGGGACGGACCTTTACCCCTGTCCCTGGTGTGTCTTTGTGGATCAGGACTCACCCTGGGCTGCCCTTCTTCAGATGCACTTAGCAGTGATGACATCATGGGAGAAGAAGAGAGAAAGTGTTTGGCTACAGAGGTCCCCAAAGGTGGATTTTCCGTAGGCAAGATGGAGGAGCCGGGTGAGGAGACGGAGATAGCCCAGAGCCCCCTCAGGACGCTAAGTGTTTTTTCCACATGGGGAGAGGTTTCCTGCAAGGACTGATGGGATTTTTTCCCTTGGTCCTTAGTTTAACCCTCAACATGGGCATGAAGGACACAGGCACGAGGCAGGGACACACTTACTGCCACATCTGGGCAAGACATAGGTGATTAACCATCCGCCTGTCCCCGTGAGTTAAGGGGGGAAAGGTGGATCGAATTAGTAGGAAAAGAAGCCCAGCAAATCCTAGTTTAAAAAGAACAGTTGTGACTCCATGAATCCAAATTCCTTTGGTGGTTTCCCACACACCTCTTCCCTGGGGCTCCCCTGCCACTGTGGAGGACGTGGGTCTTAAGGCCCACAAGACTGCCCAGCAGACAGCAGCACCGGTGAGTGGGTCACAGGCAATCAAGGGTCACATATGTGGGGCTTCACTCACCAGCCCACATTATGGGATCCAGACAGGTGCATCACTGGAGTCCCAGGTGCCTCAGTGGCCACCACCAGATCCCAGTCTACTTCAGAAAGGTTCCTGGCCCCTCCCTTTTACCTCTGCTGGGCCTCTGGCCAAAGACCAGAGACGAGATCAAGTTGCCCCACACGCCGGACGACTGGAAGATGAGGAAGAAGATGCCAAAGTAGCGGTTCACCACGTCCTTCCTGGGCTTCCCCTCCTTCTTGGCACTCTCGTTCCCCATGACGGTGAGGTAAGTGCACTGTGTGGACCACAGCGGGGCGGCCCCCAGCCCCAGCAGAATGGAGGTGGGGATCAGAGTGTACCTGCGGGCAGAGGGCACCCTCGTGGCACCGCGGACCGGTGGGGAACAAAGCCACACCCCGCCTGCCGCCAGCACTGGCAGGTGTTGGCGTCTGGATTTAGACCCCAACAGACGGGCACACGCGGAGCCATTTCTGGTTTGGTTCTTTTGCTAATGTGAAATTCACATCAGTGAGGTTTCTTGCGTTTGGATGACACTAAAACCACAAGCCAAAGAGCACCAAGGAGATGCACGGCCTTGGCGTTTCTAGCAGCTCCCACAGCTGCTGGGTCCCCTGGCCTCTCTCACAGGGAGTCTGTGAGAAAACTCCAGTTACAGGAAAGGAAGAAGGGGAAGCCTCAACCAGCATGTCCTGAGTTACAGCCCAGTGTCACTAGGGAGGTGCTCCTGGGGACAGGGCAGGCTGAAGGCCTCCAAGCCCGGTCTCTGAGGACCTCAGAAAGGTCCTGCAGGCCAGCCTGGCCATGCCCAGATGCTGCAGGTTGCCTGGTGCTTTTGTCCTGGCCAAGTTTCCGGGAGACTCGCCCCATGTCCGTGTTAGGGAGACTCGCCCTGCGTCTGTGTTGGGGAGACTGGCCCTGCGTCTGTGTTGGGGAGACTC